GCATACCACTAAACTAATGACAAAGATATCACTCTTTCTAGAAACCCAGCTGCCATACAAGTGCTGACAAATGTGGCTTCGTGAACTGCAACATGGTACTGAAAGCTGATGAAATCACATTAGCAAGGGGACAAAGTCAGAGACCACGGCAGCCTGGTCTGGTCCCTGCTGTGCTTCTCACTACACTTAGATGATCCAGGGAAAACCTTCAGTTGCTCTTGGCCTCAGACTTTTTCTTTATGTAACAGAAGAATTTGAATAATGTCAAAGGCACCTCCCAGGTCTAAAATTCAAAAATATTAACAATAATGCTCACAGTTAAGACAACCATTCTATATACTTTCCTAATGATTACCATATTTGCAGGCACCTGAGATGGAGGAATTACATTTCTTTCAAATTATAGTATGTAGTTTCCGTATTTCAACCTGAATATATTTAACAAAGGGAAAAATACTTACAATTGGAATTCACCATGATAATTTCTACAAAGATTAACAGGAAACGCCTCCATGAAATTTTCTCCAGCAATCTGAATTTTGAACATCCCTGTTGCAGTATAGAAGTAATTGACAAAACAAACAAACAAACACAGAAGATCCCACAGTAAATGCCAACCTAAAAAAATTCAGTTATTAATAGGTGGCCATTTCCAATTTTCATCTCTATATCCTTTTGTCTCTATATAATATACTATATAAGATAAGCAGCCATGATTGATTTTTTAAAGTAGCCGATTATTGAAACAATATTGAGCCAACAGTAGAGAAAGAGTTCAGAACACAGCCTTGCTGGGCTGGGAGGTTTTTGACAGTGTACCTTCAAGGCCTATCTTAGGAGAAAATTTCTTTACTGTTAAATGGTATTTCCAAGGACAGCACTTTCATTTAGTTATCAAAAAGGAATAATGATGATGATGCCACAATAATCTCAAAGCCCTTGAAAAACAAACAGAAAAACAAGCAGACATTTCAGTCATTTCTACATGCACTTTTGCTCCTGAAAGAAAAATGAAAGCTTAATTTGTTTCTCTCCATTTAGTCTGAGTCACATATATTTTTCCTTTCTCTTCTTTTACCATACTAAATTATCTCTTAAAAAGAAAAGCCAGAACACTAATTTTTCTAATTGCTTTCCGAGGGGGTCACACAGATGAGAGTTTACTCTTGCTACATTCCTTGGTGACTCTGGAATTCCTTTATCTGGACATCTAATCAATAAAAGCCTCTGGTAACAAGAACGTTCTCTGTAGGGAACCTCAGAGTATTCATAAATAATAAAAGGTCTTCAGGCATGTAAAACTTCCCCCTACTAAATCCATCTTTAAGAAGGAAAAAAATCTCCCCCAAAACCTGCGTGATAAAACACAAAAACCAGCGACATAAAATAATGACTGAATTTAACCCAGAGATGTAAGGATGGCTCAATATTATACAAATCATAGTGTGAAACACATGTCAACAGAACGAAGGACAAAAACCATATAATCATTTAAATCGATGCTGACATACAACATTTGATAAAGTTCAACATCCGTTCATAATAAAAACCCTCAAGAACTGGATATAGAATAAACACACTTCAAACAAAATAAAAGCCATATACAACAAATCCACAGCTAGCATCATACTGAACGGGGAAAAACTGAAAGCCTTTCCTTTAAGATCTGGAACATGACAAGGCTGCTTATCTTTCACCACTGTTATTCAACATGGTACTGGAAGATCCAGCTGGAGCAGTCACAGAAGAGAAATGAATAAAGGGCATCCAAGTTGGAAAGGATAAAGCCAAAGTATCCTTGTTTGCAAATAACATGATCTTATACTGGGAATAACCTAGACTTTGCCAGAAAACTAATAGAACTTATCAATAAATTCAGTAAAGTTGCAGGATACAAAATCAACATACGAAAATCAGAAGCATTTCTATTGCCAACAGCAAACAATCTGAAAAAGAAATCAAGAAAGTAATCCTATTTTCAGTAGCCACCAATAAAGTACCTCAAAATTAACTTAACCAAAGAAGTGAAATATATCTACAATGAAAAATATAAACCACTAATGAAAGAAATTGAAGATGACACAAAAAAATGGAAAGATATTCCATGTTTGTGAATGGAAAAATCAATATTGTTAACACATACTACCTAAAGCAATCTACAGATTCAGTGCAATCCCTATCAAAATACCAGTAACATTCTTCACTGAAATAGAAAAAAACAATGCTGAAATGTATATGAAACCACAAAAGACCCAGAATAACCAAAGTTATCCTAAGGAAGAAGAACAAAACTGGAGGAATCACATTACCAGACTTTAAACGTACTATAGAGTTACAGAAACCATCAGGCACCAGTTGAAACGGCCACCCAGACTTTTTTGAGTTTCTGTGTGCCAACCCAGCACCAACTGACACTTGTGGTGCTTTTTGCCCAGGAATCTCCTGGTCTGTGGGCAATGAAAATTTCTTCAGAAATGTGGTGGGCACTCACCCTCTGCATTGTTCTTGCTGGGACCTGCATTCTGGAGCTGTTCCTATTCAGTCATCTTGGATCCTCAGCAGTAGGTCTTAACAGTGGGCTTAAAATTGTCAGTAAGCCATGCTGTAAACAGATGTGCTGTCATCCAACCTTTGTTCTTCCATTTATTGAGCACAGGCTGAAGAGATTTAGCATAATTCTCAGGGGCCCTAGGATTTTCGGAATGGTAAATGAACGTTGGCTTCAACTTAAAGTCACAAGTTGCATTAGTCAGTCAGTCCTATGAAGTTTTGAATTCTCCTTCCTGGCTATTAAAACTCCTAGATGGCATCTTCCTCCAATAGGTTGTTTCATCTACATTGAAACTGTTGTTAGTGTAGCCACTTTCAACAGTGATGTTAGCTGGATCTTCTGGATAACTTGCATCAGCACTTGTGGCCTCTTTTTGCATTCTTATATTATGGAAATGGCTTCTTTCCTGAAACATCCTCAACTAACCTCTGCTACCTTCCAACTTTTCTTCTGCAACTTCCTTACCTCCCTCAGTCTTCACAGAACTGAAGAGAGCTAGGGCCTTGCTCTGGATTAGGCTTTGGCTTAAGGGACTGTTGTAGCTGGTTTGATTGCCTATCCAGACCACTGCAACTTTCTCCATATCAGCAGTAAGGCTGTTTCATTTTCCCTTTTTTGTTCTTTTTTTAAGATAGAGTCTAACTCTTTAACCTAGGCTGGAATGCAGTGGCACGATTTCAGCTCATTGCTACCTCCAACTCTGGGGTTCAAGCTATTCTCCTGCCTCAGCCTCCTGAGTAGCTGGGACTACAGACATGCACCACCAAGCTTGGTTAATTCTGTATTTTTAGTAGAGACGGGATTTCAACATGTTGGCCAGGCTGGTCTCATCTTCCTGCCAATGCTGGGATTACAGGTGTGAGTCACTGAGCCTGGCCTGTTTCATTTTATCATTTGCAAGTTCACTGGAGTAGCACATTTAACTTTCTTCAAAAACTTTCACAACTTGGCTAACTGTTTGGCACAAGAGAACTAGGTTACAGCCCATCATGGCTCTTGACATGGCTCCCTCACTAAGCTTAATCATTTCTAGCTTTTGATTTAAAGTGAGAGACATGCAACTCTTCCTTTTACTCAAACACTTAGACACATTGTAGGGTAATTAATTGGCCTAATACCAATATTGTTGTATTTGAAACAATGGAAAGGCCCAAAGAGAGGGAGAGAGATGGGGAAACAGTAAGTGGAGCAGTCAGAACACACTGAACACTTATCAATTAAGTTAAACATCCTATGTAAGTGGGCTTGACAGAATCCCAAAACCATTACAGTAGTAACATCAAAGGTCAGTGATCACAGATCACCATAACAGATACAGTATTAAAGAAAAACTTAAAATGCCTGCCAACAGAATTATTCAGTGCAAACCTGGGCAACACAATGAGACACCCATCTCTACTAAAAAAAAATAGTGTGATTGCAGATGCTACCAGCTACTTAGGAGGCTGAGGTGGGAGGATTGCTTGTGCCTGGAAGGTCAACTGAGTGTGTTCTGACTGCTCCATCTACTGAATCTTCCCCCCTCTCCATGTCCCTCCCTCTCTTTGGGCCTCTCTATTCTTTAAGATACAACAATATTGAAATTAGGCCAATTAATTACCTTCCAATGGCTTCTAAGTGTTTGAGTAAAAGGAAGAATTGCATGTCTCTCACTTTAAATCAAATAGCTGCAGTGTGGGAGGTCAAGGCTGCAGTGAGCTGTGATGGCATACATGTTCCACATGCTGCTCTAAAACACCTGGGCTCAAGCAATCTTCCTGCCTTGGCCTCCCAAGGCACTCGAATTACAAATGTGAGCCACTGCACCTAGCCCAGCTTTGGCTGGGTGTGGTGGCTCACTCTTGTAATCCCAGCACTTTGGGAGGCCAAGGTGGGTGGATGATGAGGTCAGAAGATTCAGACCATCTTGGCCACCAAGGTGAAACCCCGTCTCTAATCAAAATACAAAAATACTTCCTGGGTGCGGTGGTGTGCACCTGTAATCCCAGCTACTTGGGAGGCTGAGCCAGGAGAATCACTTGAATCCAGGAGGTGAAGGTTGCAGTGAGCTGAAATCATGCCACTGCACTCCAGCCTGGCCAAAGACTTATCACAAAAAAAAAAAAAAAAAAGGCCAGGGCAGGGGCTCAAGCCTGTAATCCCAGCAGTCTGGGAGGTTGAAGTAGGCACATCACTTGAGGTCAGGAGTTAGAGACCAACCTGGTCAACATGGAGAAACCCCATCCCTACTAAAAGTACAAAAATTAGCCGGTTGTGGTAGTGGTCTCAGACCAGCTACTTGGGCTGCTGAGGCAGGAGAACTGCACTGGGCTGGGCCCTTGGCTGGTCCAGCAGCTCACTGGTAAGGTCTGGCAGAGGGGTGGGGTGAGGAGGAAAAATGCCATGCCCAAGGGGGATAGGGTATACAGAGGCTGGGAAGAGCAGGTGGTGGTGGCGGCTTGGAACTTACCTGTAGGCATCTGAGAGCTGCAGGAAGCTGAATTCCTTGGTGCCATAGAGGATGAGGTCCCTGGCCCTCCTGCTGAGATGGGTCATGCAGAATGAAGCCCAGAACAGGAACTCAGCTAGGAGAAAGAAAAGATTCCCAGTCACCAAGCCTCTCCGGTACTCACACAGCCTGACCATACAGGGAGACAGAGGAGGTTAGGTGGTTGTGAGGAGCTGGCTAAATTTTCCTTTTTTTTCCAGAGTCTGTTCTGTTGCCAGGCTGGAGTACAGTGGTGAGATCTCGGCTCACTGCAGTCCCCACCTCTCAGGTTCTAGTGATTCTCCTGCTTCAGCCTCCTGAGTGCTCATTTTTCTATTTTTATTAGAGATGGGATTTCACCATGTTGGCCAGGGTGGTCTCGCTCTCTTGACCTCGTGATCCACCTGCCTTGGCCTCCCACAGTTCTCGATTAGAAGTGTGAGCCACTGTGCCTGACCTAAATTTTCATTTTGAGTAAAGATGGGGTCTTGCCATGTTGCCCATGCTGCTCTAAAACACCTGGGCTCAAGCAATCTTCCTGCCTTGGCCTCCAAAAGTGGTGGAATTACAAATGTGCACCTAGCCTGTTTTTTGTTATTGTTGTTGTTTTAAATAAACCAGCTTTGGCTGGGTGTGGTGGCTCACTCCTGTAATCCCAGCACTTTGGGAGGCCACGGTGGGCGGATCATGAGGTCAGGAGATCCAGACCATCTTGGCCACCAAGGTGAAACCCCGTCTCTAATCAAAATACAAAAATACTACCCAGGTGTGGTGGAGTGCACCTGTAATTCCAGCTCCTTGGGAGGCTGAACCAGGAGACTGGAACCCAGGAGGTGAAGGTTGCAGTGAGCCGAGATCATGCCACTGCACTCCAGCCTGGCGAGACACTTATCACCCAGACACACACACACACTCACACACACACAAAAAGGCCGGGGCAGGGGCTCAAGCCTGTAATCCCAGCAGTTTGGGAGCTTGAAGTGGGCAGATCACTTGAGGGCAATAGTTTGAGACCAACCTGGTCAACATGGTGAAACCCCATCTCTACTAAAAATACAAAAAATTAGCTGGGCATAGTGACACGTGCCTGTAATCCCAGCTACTCGGGAGGCTGACACAGAATTGCCTCAACCCAGGAGGTGGAGGTTGCGGTGAGCCTAGATCGCGCCATTGTACTCCAGCCTGGGTAACAAGAGCGAAACTCCGACCGACTCAAAAAAAAAAAAGGTTTTTTTTAAATTAGCAAGGTGTGGAGGCCCTACTAACTTGCGGCAGAAGGCTCCCTTGAGATCAGAAGTTAGGACTGCGCCACAGCCTGGGCAACAGGGCCAAGCCCGGTCTCAAAAAATGTTTTAAAAATTAATAATAAACATTAAAAAAAAAAAAAAAGGACACTGCCCGGGCTCAGCCTTCACCTCGGGAGGGAGCTCGGCAGGGGCGCTTCCTCCTCCTCCTGCCTCCTCTTCCGCGGTCCTCCTGGGTCCCCTCCCGGCCCCACTCCCCCAACCCCACGCTCCCAAGCCCATTAATCTTTTTTTTTTTTTTTTTTTGAGAGGGAGTTTCGCTCTTGTTACCCTGGCTGGAGTGCAATGGCGCGATCTCGGCTCACCGCAACCTCCGCCTCCCGGGTTCAGGCAATTCTCCTGCCTCAGCCTCCCGAGTAGCTGGGACCACAGGCACGCGCCACCATGCCCAGCTAATTTTTTGTATTTTTAGTAGAGACGGGGTTTCACCATGTTGACCAGCCAAGAGGCGGCCTGGACTCTCCCAGTCCCTACGATGGGCTTCCGCGTGCCTCCCGGCCCTGCCCTGAGTACCGCAGCAGCAGCCGCTACCACTGCTCCTGGAAGCCCTGGCGCCGGTCGTCCGAGAAGTCAGCGTGGAAGCTCCAGAGTCTGTCCAGCTCCTTGCGCTCCCGCGACGGGCTCTCCCAGGGGCACAGCATCCCTCCCTGCAGCGCCAGCGCACTGCCACACAGCCACGCAGTCCGCCGCCGGCCCGAAAGCCAGACCGCCCACTCTGCCGCTAGGCTTCCGGCTGCGGTGATAAAAGAAGCGCCGGAAGAGGCCGGAGGGCGTGTCGCTTGACGTACTGAGGCCATCGGCGCCATGTTTGTTGAGGGCGACTGCCAGGTCTGGAGGGGAGGGGGGACCGGGGGCTGCTGGGTGGGGCTATAGGCTAGGAACCGCGGGCTAGGCCTTTGGTGAAGTTGGACCCTCCCATGCAGCCCCCCTCTCCCCACTCCCGCCCAGGCTGGACGATCCAGGGAGGCAGGCCAGGACAGAACCCCTGAGATCTGGGATTCCCCAGTTTTATCAAGAAGCACCTCCACTCACCTTCCCCAGCGCGACTCCTCCGAGCAGGCCCCAGCGGAACCTCTTCGGTGCCTGCCGGGTGCAGCTGTGGCTCTCACCCGTAATCCCAGAACTTTGGAAGGCAGAGGTTGGTGGATCACTTGAGGCCAGTCTGGCCACCATGCTGAAAACCGATCTCCAGTTAAAAAAAAAAATAGGCCGGGTGCGGTGGCTCAATCCTGTAATCCCAGCACTTTCGGAGGCCGAGGCGGGTGGATCACGAGGTCAAGAGATCGAGACCATCCTGGTCAACATGGTGAAACCTCATCTCTACTAAAAACACAAAAGTTAGCTGAGCATGGTGGTGCAGCCTGTAGTCCCAGCTACTCAGGAGGCTGAGGTAGCAGAATTGCTTTAACCCAGGAGGCGGAGAGTGAACTGAAGTCGCACCATTGCACTCCAGCTTGGGTAACAAGAGCGAGACTCCATCTCAAAAAAAAAAATAACAAAACAAAACAAAAAAAAGAGAAACGACTTACAGGTTTTCTTATATTTCAAGAGTTCTCAAGTATACACAATGATTGCTGAGTAAGCATAAGTAATTTCTACGTAAAATGAGAATTTCAGAGTGAAGTTCTGAAACTCCTTGAGAACATTCTATAAGAAAACATTACATAAGGCTGAAATCAGGTGTTGACCAGCTAAGAAACTTGTTCTAAGTACATTTATGCTATTAGCAGGCAGAATCTACTGATTTATTGTATCAGTATATTTATCTGATAAATATATAAATATCAAGATATTTATTGTATCTTAACTGTATAAAAATTCCTTGAGCATTTGCCTTTCTCTACATAATTTTTACCAGATTTTAGTATTTAAAACATTTTTTCTTGAATAGGCCAATAGCTACTTAAGCACTACTCCTCTGTTGTCTTTCAGTGTGTTGTCCACACTGCAGTCAAAGTAATTTTTTTTTAGGTGAAGTTTCACTTTTGTAGCCCAGGCTGGAGTGTGATGGCACCATCTGAGCACACTGCAATTCTGCCTTCTGGATTCAAGTGATTTTCCTGCCTCAGCCGCCAGAGTACCTGGGATTACAGGTCCCCATTACCATGCCTGGCTAATTTTTATATTTTCAGTAGAGATGGGGTTTTACCATGTTGGCCAGGCTGGTCTTAATCTCCTGACCTCAGGTGATCCATCCACCTCAGCCTCCCAAAGTGCTGGGATTACAGGCATGAGCCACCATGCGCAACCCAAAGTGATCTTATTGATACAGGAGGTAGAAAGAAATTAGATAGATAATGAGAGCTTAAAGAGTCCTCAACAGTGCTTCCCTTCTAACAAAAAGCAGCCCAGAAAATTATTTTTTTTTCCTAACAAGAGCAACCTGAAGAAAGCAAGCTGGAAGCCTGCATGGGCAAATGCTGACAGCTATGCCAAGAGAAAAGGGCTACTTGGGGGCCACACATATTCAACATGAAGGCTCCATCTTCCCTCTCTGTTACCATGTTTACAGGAACAAAGAAATGGGCAACATGGCACAGCTCAGGCAGAGAAACTGCCTGCATGATAAACGATTAGGATGGGGTTACCAGAGATTCACCCCCATGCAAATGACACACTTGGTCTAACCAGTTTTTCATGTCCTATGTAAATCAGACACTGCCTCCTCACCAGCTGATCTTTAAAACACTCTATTTTGCCATGAACAGGAAACCCATTTTTCCAGGACACCTCTCTGCCACAGAGAGCTATTTGCTTTCTTTTCCCTATTAAACTTTCACTCTAATCTCACTCTTTGCATGTCTGTATCCTATTTTTTCCATGGCCATAAGACAAGAAACCTTAGGTAGTACTCCAGATGAGGCTGTTTCATTGTGGGGGCTCTCAAGGGTAGATTCATCAGAAAGGTAATTATATGAGTGGACCCCAATTCTCTACTTTTATTTTGAGTCCATCTGCCCTCAATTTTAAATTGTAAAATGAAACTTAAAAAACTGGGCATCCGATGGCCAGTTAAGAGACCATTATGATTGCTGCCACTTCAAAGACTCAGATGACAGGCTTGCTAGGGAGTACTAAACAAATCTCCCAGTGTTTTCAGGGTGCTAGGAATATTGGCTCTGTTTTGAACTGATTTCTTTTCACAAAGAGCCTAGCCATCATCTGGGGCTGAAGATATCCAGAGACAATTGACAGTTACTCAAAGGCTGCTGGACTCTTATTTTTCCATCCTCTTACTGCCCATTGGGCATAAGCAATAGCATCTCCAAGTTTTTTTCATCAAATTTTTTCTTTCCAAGACCACTGTGCCTCTTGTCCCCTGTCTTTATGCAGTGCTGCAGGAATTTTTACAGTTAAGGGAAATAATCCTATTAGGCAAGATAGCAAATGCCATAGTAACTGGGAATACAGCTAAAGGGATGGCCATTTTTTTATTTTTCTAGAAGCAGAGGGCCTCTACTCCCACCCAGTGAACATCTTTTTCTCTACCCTTTGTCTGGAAAGCACATGGTATTTCAAGACATACAGCACCGCCTAGTGGAATAGGAATCCTCTCCAAGATGTACCTTGTCAAACCTTTGCTAAAACACTGTATTTTTCCCAATTCTACTCTCTTTTTACACCCGTCAACTGTAAACCAAGCTTTATGCCCCATATGTGAGTGAGAAAACACAACAATTAGGAGGAAGATATCTCCCCAAACAAAAATTTTGTGTCAATAATTTCCCATTAGCAGAAAAACTGCCATTTTTTTTAAAATACCCATGTGCCTTTAAAAAAAAAAAAATGGGTATTTTACATACTATGGATGTTAACCAGAACCACTGCCTAAGAATACTTTAATCTGGGGTATAATAACAGAATATACAGCTCTTCTCCCTGTGGTAAGGGGCCTTGCATTCATACAACTGTTACATAGTCTGTCCTGAGAGCCATCCATTGGGAAAACATGCAGAGTACAGAAGTCTAGAAAATCAAAGGAAAATCACCAATGGAGGACTAAAGTTGCATTGGTAAGTATGACTAATATTATTGCTTAGCTCCTCTGGATCCATGGGTGAGGGTAATGCCTGCATCCACCTTTAATGGATGCTTGGACTCAGGGAACCAAGGAAGGAAACAGTTGAAGGAATGTCCCCATTGTCACCCCCTTTACCCTGAGTCATTCTAAAAGAAAGGAAGAAAACTAAAGGGATTCCTTTTTATCACTTCTCTTTCTACATGGATAACAGACCATCTTCAGCCTGCACTCCTCTGGAGTGCATTTTGAAGCAATGGGACTCCTATGACCCCAAGACTTTGAAGAAAAAGTGGCTCATTTTCTTTTGCAAGATGGTATGGCCTTCTTATTGTCTTGAACTAACGGAAAGCCTCAATTTTAATACTATCCAAAAATTAGATTATTTGTGTAGATGAGAGAGCAAATGGTTCAAGGTTTTCTATGTACAGGTTTTCTTTGCATAATAAAAGATTAAGATGAGGCTACCATACTAATGAGACAACCCAGACCTTTGGAAGCATTGCACAATCGACCCAGCTCTTTTGGCAATCATATCATTTAGGCTGAAAAGGAGCAAATCTCCAAAACTAAAAAGACAATTTCTCAGAGAAGCATCTGAGGGAGTTATAGAGTTCCTAACCCTTCCTTTTTCCCTATACAGGGCCCCCCTCCAACCACATTGTAGGCTTCTCCACTTCTACCAACCCCCAAAATTCCCACTCCTCCTTGCTCTGGCTCATATGGGAAATATCAGTGCAGGTGATGCCACTAGGTTTCAAGTTCCCTTCTCAATTCAGTATCTTAGGCAAATAAAGAGAGACCCTGAGAGGTATATTCCAAAATTTAACTCAGTTGTTTGATCATGGAGGGATGCTATGTTGCTCCTAAGCCAAGTTCTAACTGCTGCAGAAAAACAGGCAGTTCTGAAGGCAACAGAGGAATTCAAAGATGAGTTATATGTCTCCTCTAATAGGTCAAAAAGCAAAAGACAAAATAGCTAAGGTGAAAAATAGGGGAATCACTATTCCCAACAGAAAGAGAGGAAATACCTACTGACAACCCTGATTAGAACCCCAACTACACATATAAATGGAAAAGAACACTTTTTAATGCACATGTTGGAGAGCCTATGATGAATTAGAGCCAAACCTCTTAATTACTCTAAAATGTCCATGATAGACAAAAACCTAGATGAGAATCCTACAACCTTTATGGCAACACTGAAAGAGGCACTAATAAAACACACCTCCTTTCTCCTGAAAAAGTCAAGGAACAAGCAATTGAAAAGGACATGTTCATAGCACATTGAGCTCCCTATGTTAGATGGAAACTGCAGAAGCAGGCTACAGAACCAGATATCCTAGAAAGCCTCTTGAGGGTGGCCACCTCCACATTTTAAAACAGGAACCGAGAGGAGGCCCAGGATATAAAGAAGAAACACAAAGAAAGACAGAGGCTGTAGTAGCTGCTTTGCAGGCTTGCAAAACTCAAAATTTCAGAGGTGCTCCTGCTAATTTCTACAAATGTGTTAAGTCAGGGCACTTTAAGAAGGATTACCCAGGCAGCAAGAAGTCAACTTGACTCCATTCAGCTCATGGTAGTGACCACTGGAAATCAAACTGCCCACAGAGATGGAGGTCACCAGATCCAAAACTGGTTTCACAATGGTCCAACAGGACTGATGGGTCCCAGGGCCCAGACCCCAACTTCATTGGTTCTAACTGCCAT